TATGTATCTATGTGGACACATGATGCAGGTAGACTGCTAGTCCATTTAGACGTTGCTAGTGACTAGCATAGTAGGACCAGCCAAGTGTACTTCGAAGCTGTATTGACGAGATGAATGCAATGCACAGAACTGAAGATAATATTGCAAGCACCGTTGTCAGGAGAAGAAACTATCATGGCCATCACACGGGGAGCAGCGTAATACTACAAGTTGGTCTGGGTGAGCCACTAACTTCTATCATGCCTACCTCGGTTATTGCTGTAAGACCCTGATCATGATAGGATCCGATTCCAATGGAGTGCGGTATAGTCCAGATGTGAAGCGAAAACAACGTGTTTTCTCACTATAATATCAGTCTGTCTTCAGACGATCAACCTACCTACAAACTACCCCAAGAACGATATCCGACGACTACCATGACATCCCTCCCCGAAACCATGATTGCATATCGGTGGGTGAAAGGAGAACCAAAGCCGATTCGAGAGATCATCCCTGTTCCTTCTCCAGGTCCCGGAGAAGTTCTTGTCAAAGTGCAGGCAGCCGGGGTTTGTCACAGCGACATCACAATCATGCAGACTGATCGTCCTGCCTTCTTCCCTCAATGGGAAAGGTTCACTCTCGGTCATGAAGGAGCAGGTACAATCGTCGCAGTAGACCCCTCTGTTTCCCAATCCCATCCTTCATTGAAAGTTGACACATATGTTGCAATCCTCGGCTGTAATCCTTGTTTCGAGAGGACCTGCAATTTCTGCTCTGGAGGGAAGGACCAGCTTTGCAGGATGCATCCAAAGACTACGAACTTTCCTTACGGCCTTGGCCGAGATGGTTCTTGGGCTCAATACGTCGTTGTTCAGGCTGCTTGTATTATACCTGTCCCTGCCGAAGGCAAAGCCGTACCACCTGCTGCTATTGCGGTATCCACAGATGCAGTATTGACACCTTATCACGCATTGACGACTTGCATGCGGGTGAAATCAGGCCAAACTGTGCTGGTCATCGGATCGGGAGGAGGATTAGGATTGCACACAATCCAAATAGCGAAGAATTGTATCGGAGCAAAAGTCATTGGCTGCGATGTTCGACCAACCGCACTCTCCGAGTCGACGAGGTTGGGTGCGGATTTCGTTGGGAGACCAGAGGATATTGCAGAGATTTTGCAGAAGAATAGTCTTATCGTTGACGGAGTGGTAGATATGGTAGCGACACAACAGTCGTTTGAACTTGGGTTGACAACCGTAAAGGAGGGTGGAATTATCCATATTTTGGGGTTGGATGCCGAGATACTGCAGGTTCCGGTCCGTGGATTGATGTTCAAAGACCTGGCTCTTCAATCAAGTTTCTGGGGAACAAAGCAAGAACTTGCGGAGGTATTGGAGCATGTAGCCGCAGGAAGGATTAAACCAGAGGTGGAAACGCGCTCGATGGAGCTAGCAGGAGAGGTGCTGGAAGAAATGAGGTCAGGAAAACTGAAGAAACGGGTTGCGCTTATTCCTTGAGCATGGACTGTCGTGCGTTGAACACTCATAAGAGTTTGCAAGTCCTAAATTTTTGTTCTTGCCTGTAAAATAAAAGACGGTGCTGCGAAGGAAAAACATAGTGTCACTTGCACTGTGTGATCAAATAACAATACGATACTTAGCTAGCTAGAAAGAGTGGATTCAGACGATACCGGTCGTGCAGGAGAGAACGAGGATTGGATGGCTTATACGCGATGCATACCTTAAATCAAGTAGATCTATCAATTAAACAACAAACTAAAAGTACAACCTGATCATACGCACAAGAACACAGTATACATATATCATGGAAGGTGTGATGCTGACTCCCTGAATAGGAGAGGCTACAGTCAGATGAAGATATCACCACAACAGTAGCAATGGCAAGTTACGAAGCAACTTCTGAAGTAGAACCAGTCGAAATTATAGGCTTCGATTTAGCGGTATTGTTAGCTCGACTTCTACCCCACTTCACGGTTACAGTTTGACCATCCATCTCTAATCCATTGGCCCAAGCGGCAGCAGCAATTTCTGCATCTTTACGTTCCTTAAAATTAACAAACGCACATCTGGTAGGAAGGGGTTATTATTGAATAAAGGGAGGATGCAGGGGGCAGAAAACACGTACTTCGTCTTAGCAACGTGAACCACAGATTTAACTCCAGAAGGTTGCACTGAAGGAACCGTCTGCAAGACTCTCGTGCGAATGCTTGCCTCCGATGCATCTGCTGGTAAGGATGCAAGGAAAAGTGATGTCTATAGCCCGCATAGTTAAGCAACAGCATTTCATATATTGCAATGGAACGACATACGATAGACTGATCTTCAGGGGGAGCTAAGCCCATACTCGAAGCGTGGGTATTGAGGATTTTGTTCGCAACAGGATCATTCTTGCCATGGTACCTATCCTGGATATTTTGCTTCGATAATTCATTATTAGTGGGCATTTCATGACTAAACTCGATGGCAGACAGGTCAGTTTTGCGCAACAACTTGTAGTTGACTAGGAGGTACTAACCGGTAAGGACAATCAGCTCCTCTGTTACACTCTCCCTTCGCAAAGAATGAACAGATATGAGGTCGGTTACGTTTATAGTATGGATCTGTCCTCGCAAGTTGTTTCAACATTTCTTTCCCTGCTGATGACGCGCGACCAGCATCCAACAGTGATTTGTTTCCTTCCAACTGGAAATTCAAACATTGAATGTGATATATACGGCGGGATAAACAAGACATACCTTTCCCTCCATGTTCTGTGCGTAATACTCCCTATTGACCTCACTCGTAGGTGCTTCATTCTGAATAGCCAAAGCTGTATCTCGGACTTGAGTGGGAAGACCATACTCTAAATCGAGTAAACACGTCTGGCAAACGTTCTTGATTTTTGCACATGTTTGACAGATCACTGTGGTTTTGAACCTCATTCCAGTTCCTGGATTCCATCGAAACACTGTGAATGGTCTTGCACATGTACCACATGATCGACCATATTCTTGTTTGGACTGCGCGAACGCGAAAGATGTTGAATGGGAGCTATAAGACAAGTTGCGAAGCTAGCTTACCATGCGAACGAAAGCATTGTCACCTAGACCTGAAGAGAATGTTTGGGTGAGTCGAGTAAAGCATTGCGAATAGTTAGACTTACATGTTTCACATAGAATGGGAAAGTCACTTTGCTCCCAACCAGCTTTATTGATATCGGCTTTCGGTGGCATTCTAAGTTTTCTTTTGATACGAGGAGGGAGAGATGAGGGAGTGCAAGTCAAAGGAGGTGATAGTTGAAGTCGAAGTGCAATTGGTAGAAGCGTACAAGCCAATTACAGGCTTACACAGTCGGGTACGCGTCTAAATACCAAAACAGGCCAGTCCTTGTTTGTCCGAATTTTTCGTGTGCAAGGGGCGCGAAAAAGACGCTCAAGGGAGAATCGTCGCCAACTTGTCACGTCTTCTTCATCTCTCACTCTCTCCCTGTGATGTCGTCCCCGGCCACAGAACTAAAAGCAGAGGCGTCTTCGTCGGCGACCTCGTCGCATTTGCCCCTCGTTGGGCCTTTTGCCAACCTCTACAACCGTTTCTCATCATGGAGGCACTCTCTAGACCTCCCTAACCCCGGCACTGTGGAGAATATTCAAAAAGAGGTCAAAGGTGAGTTGTCTCTCCTTTCTGCATCTGATGTATCTCTCTGACAAGTTCTTTATTCTGTATTCTTTAGCTACACACTTGACCAACTTTTTCTTCGATGGTGGACGTGCGGATTTGACGAAGAGTGTGTCTCTCAATCCTGCGTTCCAGGTGACGCATTCATTTGCGTTCGGTTCGCAGGTTGCTCCCCCTTCCTACAACTTTGGTGCCGTTTTCGCCAACAACAATGTACGTTAATCCTCGCTCGTATTATGAGTCAACGTCACACTAAACGCCCGTGGTGTAGCTCTTTTTACAAGGCGGAATGGACAATGAAGGAAACTTGAATATGAGATTCAACCAAGGATGGACACCCAACAATGTGACAAAGGTCCATGGTCAGGTCAGGATTTAGTTTTCAGTGGCTTGTTTGGACGGGGTCTTACCCACTATTCATCTACAGATATCGTCTCAAGTTGGACACAGTATGATTCAGCTAGAGCATGATTATCAAGGCCTTGACTATAGCGTCAACGTGAAGGCCATCAACCCCTCCCCAGCCGATTTGACTGGAATTTACTTGGTGGATTACTTACAATCAGTGAGCAAAAACGTGGCAGTTGGGTTCGAGACATTATATCAACGACCCGACCCATCCATGGGTGAAGCGAGCACATCGTATTTAGCCAAGTACACCAGCACGGACAAGAGTTGGATTGCCACAGCACAGGTTCAGTCTAGTGGTATCCTGCAGGCTACATACTGGCAGAAACTCAGTGACAAAGTCGATGTGGCCGCGGATTTACAAATGATTGCTGCGCCAGCGAGAAGAGATGCTGTTGCAACCCTTGGTGCGAAGTATGATCTTCGGATGTCTACGTTCAGAGCACAGCTGGATTCTACTGGGAAGGTGTCTGCGTTGTTGGAGCAACGGTTTGCGCCTACATTTGCATTCATGGTTGCAGGAGAGATTGATCACTTTAAGGTCAGTGTAACCTCTTCGCCGACGACATGATGTTGATGAACTAATATCTTTTGTTTCATGACAGAACTCTGCGAAGGTTGGTGTTGGTGTGATGTTGGAGAGCACAACATTGACTCCAGAGGAGATGGGGATGCCACCGCAAGGTGGTATGCCGTACCCACCTGCTCCTTAATGATATCGTCGATATTAGGGAGTTGGTGATCACAAATAGTATATATCCGTTAGACCCACGAGTAATAGTTGCACTTTTATCATACACATTTCCACCCTTCCATTGAACTTGCTATGAATGACCGATCAATCCAATGTGATTCGTACGTGAGGTCTATAATACTGCTGCATGCGTACAACCCCTTCAAATCAACGAGCCAAGTTTGACAGTCAAAATGTGCAAAAAGTGGACCCTCCGAGAATCGAACTCGGGACCCTTGCATTTGGTAACCACATAAGTACAAAGCTCTACCGATTGAGCTAAGGGTCCGTTATGAATATTTTACCATCGTAACAGTATAAGAATGACCTCCGAATGTTCAAAGAAACTGCAAGTACTGCTTCGACATGTTAATGATACTGCACAAGTGTGTTATACGCCAGAATCAACCCTTTCCTCCTGCAAGGTACCATTCTCGATACGAAGAAATCGAGAGCCGACTCTCCGACCTTGTTCTTCCGAGTGTGTGATCCAGACAATCGCTTTCAGCCCCCCCTCCTTTTTGCGAACGGCATCGACCAAGTACTTCTCCACCTTCTCAGAAGATTGAAGATCCAGAGCAGAAGTCGGTTCTAGAGATAGTTGTTAGAATGAAATGTTTAACAAGAGAAAGAAAAGAAATCACTGACCATCTAAAAGCAGAATCTCAGCGGACTTCAACCCGACTCCAATAGCTAAAGCCACCCTTTGGGCTTCTCCCCCGCTCAGGTCTGTCCATAATCTATCCCAAAGTTCTTTATCTATTCCCCATAATTCTGCCAGTTTTATGGGTTCATTTAGGTCAACAGAACTAGGTACCAAATCCCCAGCTTTCTGATGTGCTTTCTCACTGTGTGCTTTAAACTTGACTACGGTGTTGAGAAAGTCTCGAGGTGTACCCGGAAGCAAGGACGGACGTTGGGGGACATAGAGAACATGCGTTCGAAACAGCGGGATTCCTGTTATAGATCAACCCTGTAAGCCAACTTTTGCAGTCTGGGTACTAATGGTTAGACTTGCCGTAGGATTTAGGTGTCCTATTGTTTTAGTACAGAGTCACTGCTCAGAAACAATTCATGAGTATCATTGGCTATGACAAAACACACACCGTCCACGAAATGCAATCTCTCCATCATACAGATTCAGATGTGCTAGGCATTTCAGTAATGTGCTCTTCCTGACATGAGCCCCTCGTCAGATATGGGCCCCATAGGACACTAACCAACTCACCCAGCACCACTCTTTCCTTGCAAAATCACGATATCTCCTTCCCTCACGTCGAAATTCACATCTGCAAATATAGGTTGACCTTTCGCCTTGTTACAACCTACTTGTTTAACTTCGAGAAGAGGCTCGGACGACATATCACCGTCTTTGTGTTCTGCAGGGCGGGGATTAAGATATAGATAAGAGTTGAGCCAGTCGCATGGTTTGGACGGAATGCGCAGACTTCAAGCTTCCAATATCCAATGACCGCGAGAGGCCGCCCTGGTCGTACAACCGTGCGTCGATGACGCGCGTTGCTCAAACGATCAAATTCACATTCAAAGTCAATTCTAGTATAGATATGTAGTGATGGGGTGAAGTCGGTTGGAGGGTCACTGGGTCATATACATACATACATCCATGATACACGATAAACAAGAGAGCCGTATACGATACAATGTGAAGCCATACCGTACATCGTCAATTTCCATCCAAAGTAGAAGGTTGAGAGTTAGTCTGTGGAAGAACCTGTGGCGGAGGTATATTCTGATCATTCGAAGGGGGGTTGTTTGGTGGCGGATGAGGAACAGAAGGTGTAACAGAGACACTAGGAGGGGCGGGAGGTAATGAAGTCCCGCTTTGAGGTCCAACACCTATAACCGTATTACTTGATTGAATAATACCGTTAATATTGACACCTCTTTGTTTCAACCCTTCGATCCAGCGTGTGAATGCTTCTAAGCTTTGCAAAGTCAATCCCAACTTTGTGAGAATAGTTTTGGACAGATCCGCGCTATGATTCTTCAACATCCCGTCTATGTTTTTCCGTAATTCAGACAGCATTGGCTGAACATCTTGCCGGACAAGAGTCTGCACGTCGGGACGAAGATGGGAAATTAAGTCAGATAACGGTGGAAAGTTGACGGTGTTTAAAGTATCTGGCGTTGATGAGATGGGTTGGGGTGAGGGTGTGATAGAAGGTTGGGGTGGTTGAGAAATATATGCCGTTAATGCTGCGTTGAGAGCGGCGGTCTCTGCTTTGTTTTGTTTGATGGCTTTAGTCGTTTCTCGTTGCAGCTCTTCCAGCTAATGAAATGAAAACGAGTCAGTATGCGATGAACACGAGTTTAAAACACCCCGATAGAGCTTACTTTATCAATTTTGAATCTCAATGTGTCGTTCTCTGTCTGTAGCCGTTTGACTTCCTTCGAAGCATTGGATTCCTGTTTCATCAGTTCTGCAATTTCTACGGCCAACTGAGTGATATCATGACTCGACGAGGACACGTCCTTCTCTAGACTCTCCAATTTCGATTCATAATCTGGCCGCTGTCCTTGTGCTTGGGGTATTGTACTGCGTATCTCTTCAAACTTTGAATCGATAACCTCAGTTAGTTCGGCATCTCGATCCACAAGTTGGTTCTCAAGGTCAGAGAGGCGAACATCGAAAGACTCCAGTTTGTCCCGTATCTTCTCCAATTTTCCCTTTCGATTGAGTAGTAGATTGGTATTTGACGACGATGACGGCTGCAGCTCCGGTTGTGGTTGTAGTTGCGGCTGCGGTAGAGATGTCGTTGTCTGTTGACTTCTACCATCCTCGTCAATCTCCCCTGCAGATAACCGTCTTCGTTTCCTCACCGGTCCTTCTTCCACTTCTCCCTCCTCTTGCTTCTGCTTGTCTCCTCTCGCAAACTTGACCAACTCATACAAATCTTCCACATTCCTCTTCAGCCCTTCGATACTCTTCTCCACTTCCTCCTTCTTCTTCTCCTCCCCATTGGTAGTATTATCATCATCTACACCCTTTAGAGGCCAGAAATCACCCTTAGCTAACCTCTCGATCAACTTTTCCAGAGCCTCTTTCTTCTTCGCTGAGTCGACTTTCACAGAATCGAATTTTGAAAGCAGAACTTGTTGATCGGAAGAAGATAGGGATTCGAAAAACTCAGACCTCGTCAGACGACTGTAATTTTCGACATCTTTGTTCAGTTGAATATGTTCATTGAACGTTATGACCGATTCTGCTAGAAGCCTTTCTGCTAATTAGATACGTCCCAAAACAGAAAAAGCATATCATGTCTCACTTGATACGTTCTTCCCAAGATAACTGAACTCCTTCTGTCAAGGTCTGTTCGTTATTACTGGGTAAACGTGAACTAGATGGTTCCATTCGCGAGTCATGAGTCGTACCATGAGCAGGTGGAGGGATTTTTCTCGGAGGGGGAAGTGGCGGCGTCCTAGCTCTATCTCTCGAAGGAGAAAGAGGCGGAGGAGTCCTGGCGTATCTCCTGCGATCAATAGGTGGTCCACGAGCAACAGGAGGAGGGATATATGGAGGACTGTCCTCTCGTCTTTCCGGATATCGTGGACGTGATTCCCTTCTTGGGCTTATATCCCTCATATCTCTTTCTCGTTCCTTATCCCAAGCTCGACTCAGCAAACCAGAGGGAGGAGGTGGTGGTGGAGGTGGTGTAGAAGCTATTCTCGAGTCCTGTTCTTGTCGCCCAGAGAATAGTGGTCTTCTATTCGGCACAGGGCTGGGAGTACGTCCTTGTGGTTGATTAGGTATCGTCGTGCTCGACTTTGCAGCATCCCAGCCTGGGTCGTTTGGATGAACAAAGTAGCATTTCCCCTCTTTGTATGGACATCCCAGTGTGCCTCGTTTGTTGAGACGAGGGTTTTTATCTTCATCGTACCACTGTGCGAACAGAGAAGAAATAATATATGAATTATAATTTCGTTAAATTGAAGAAATTTATAGAACGAATCAACAAGTGCAATAATTAGTGCACAACTGCTGACAATGACAGTACTCACAAAGCATCTTAACGGAGGACGCATCTACCACCGAAACCTCCTGAGTGTATGTTGTTCGACCAGTGTAAAACTTAGCAGGGGTAAGGGAATGGAGTGAGTGCAAACAAGCGGAGCTGAAAGCTCATATAAGCGCTCAAAGTACGTATGTAGTACTAAGTACATAGGGATCGGATACTAACATTGCATTGTGTTCAGAAGAAATTATACAGTGAAGAGACAATGAATAGTAATTACAGCCCACTGAACTCTGCATCAAAAGCACCCTGGCTCACATGCCCCTTCTTCAATTTCTTTGCCATCCTCTCTTCTCTCGCAAGTTCTTCCCAATCATCCTCTTCACCTTCATCTTCAACCGTACACTCACCATCTACTTTAACCTTCGAGCCATCTTCCATTTCCTCATCTTTCTTCTCGCTTATGTTGGCCTTTTCCCATTTTCTCTTCCTAATCTTCTTCTCCTTCCGTTTCTCTTTCTCCTCTTTCCTAGCCATCTTATTACTCCAAGCCGCATTAGCGAGCTTTTTTGCAGCATTGTCTCTTTTCCTCTGCGCAATATCTTCAGCCGACAATTTGGGTTGATTTCTAAGTTCTTCCAATCGTTTCGCTTCGCGAGCTTTGTCGGCATAGCTGTACGTCTGCCACTAAGACGTCGTCAATAAAATGTAACCACATTACAAAAGATGAACTTACATCTACTTCAGCGTCATCCCAATTAGTTCTATCCACCTTGTTCAGTTCAGGCATACGAGGTAATCGTAAAAGGCCAAAACATCTTGCGACGCCAATCAAATCGAGGTCTTTGATACGGAAGATGTAAGACGCTTCGTGTTTTGAATATGCCTGAACAAAAGACACGAAAGCTTTTGTGGCCTATGGTAAGAGGGAATTTAAAATCTGATAATTGGCACGAGTAGTCACTTGATCAACTTACCTTATCATATAGGCCTCTGTCTGTCAACACCAGCTTCCGGATTTTTGTCAATGCATCCTCGACCTGTGGGTCTTCTGCTTCATCTACTGACGTGATCTCCTCCTTGTTATCGGAAGCAAAAGCTGGTCGTTCCTTAAGCGGGATTTTTCTTACAGCCATAAAATCTAATGAAGTTGTGATTAAATATGATTCCATGTTGGACTCTCGATGCTGCAGTACTCACCAACATAATCGCGTTCTCGGCCTGACAGCAGTACCCAGGCTCTACCGCTACGACCTGCACGAGCAGTTCGGCCGCAGCGATGGGAGAATGCTTTGGGGTCGGATGGTGGATCGAA